TTTTTTTTTTTTTTTTGCTTTTCTGCTGCCCAGGGTTTCACCAGGCCTTTTGTGCAGCAATAAGGGCATGCGTAAGGCAGGGTAGATTTGCACCTTAGAGACTAACTACATCAGAGATGCATACGTTTTGGTAAGCAGAGGATGCTGCAAAAGGACTGCAGGAAGCAGAGCTGCGAGATAGAAAGCGGGGCTTAGAGTACAAAGGGTAGGGAAGAGGGAGGAAAAAGGAAGGAGCACAGCTGGGAGAGGCAAGGTGGGTAGGAGAGAGGACGTGCAGCCAGTCAGCTAATTGGTTTATAATCCTCAGGAGTAATAAAAACCAGGGCTGTCCTCTTTAGAAAGCTCAGAGCGCTGCCTCCAACCCATCCTCTCCTCTTCAAGCCCTCCCTTCTTCAGCCAAGGTATAACCGCAAGATGGGAGGGGAGGATGCAGGAGCGGCCCACGGCCCACACCTCCTAGCCTGTGTCAGGACCGGAAAGCCCAGCTGGAGAGCCGAGGTGCAAGATCCCCAGAGGGGAACCGCAGAGGACAGAGAGAGGCAGCAGCATCCCTCCCAGTGGTGGAAAGGGGGATGGAGGAGGTCTGGAGAGCGCCTCAGGTGAGATCCCTCTCGACCTGTAAAACTGCATAGGCTGGAGGAGCCCTGCGTTGCTTGGGACTATAGGTCAGGCTCTCAGCAGCTGCACACCGACGGCTGCCCACGAACCTCATGTTTGTCTCTGTGGTGCACAGCCACCGGGGAAAGCATGTGAATCCTCCCGCTCGGACTCCCAGCACCCCCCCAGCTGAGTGCAAAGAGAGTCCCTGCAAACTTGCAGGGGAAGGCTATGACACACAGTCTAGTGGTCCTGATTTCATACAGTAGCGGATGCTCCGTCTGCATGTTTATGGGCGTAAGCACACGTGCAAGAGAGGAATCAGAACTCGTGGCAGAGGTGACAAAAAAGAAGTGATATCTTTTATTATTTTGCAAAGTCTTGAATTGCAAGCCTTCAGGCACAAGTGCTATTCCTCAGGCACAGGAGAAAAGTTTGCAAAAGTTCTGCCCGGTAGAAACGCAAGTTCATATTCCATACGGCTACAACCCGGATACCTGACACCATGTTACATGCACTCAGGCGTATACAGCCACACATGCTCATACCTGCTACATAAGCCAGGATGTTGCAGTATTTAATGTAAATGCATATTTAATGCCATTCATAATTCAGTTGAAGAAGGTAAAGGGGGACAACCGACAGTGTCAGGAAAGCCCTTGTGTAGCTTTATGTTTTCAGGCAGTACTTCTCTGCCCTGTTTTCCCGTCCGCAGCTCAAGTGATCTACCCCAGGCCACAGAGGGGAGTCAGTGTCAGAGCCGAGCCTGTAGCTGCTGTCCCGTTCACAGACTGCAGACCCCCGCCCCTTCTCCATCCCTCTCCAGCCGGCAGGATGGAGCCCGGAGCTGGAGCCCGGAGGCAGGGGACTCCACTGAGCAGGTATGGGCTGAGGGTGAGAAATCACAACGTGTGAAGCAAAAGGGGAAGCACTGGATCTAAAGAATCACCACAACTGCTACAAGGTGTTTCTGAAGCTGTCATCAAACCATCTGCCTCCTTCCCATAGGTAAATAACCGCGGGATAGCAGGCAGCCACCGCCGTGCCTTTCGAAGCGCGCCGAGCGGGCCGGGGTGAGCCGGAGAAGCCTGGCCCCAGGCCCAGCAGTGACTTCTCCTGTTTGCAGCGTGGTAAAGAGCCCGCAGCAATGGCAAACGTAGCTGCCAAGGTTAGGACACCACGAACGGAGGAAAACAAGGGAGACGAGAGCTTCCTGCTGTTTGCTGCGTGGGGCTGGGAAGGGAAAGGAGCAGAACAGCCTTTTCCATGTCGTGGCCGCTCAGTAAACCCCTGTGCTGCAGCGCCTCGCTCCTCGTAACTCATCGAAGGGACACCCCGGCTGGAGGGAAGCATGCAGGCGACTGAGAGAGGCGCTGCTGGTTCCTGGGGAGAATTTATAGCTCTTGGTTTAAGAACCAGGCCGGCTCCGGAGCAGGAGGCACGCAGGCGCAGCGTGCACGGGGCAGGTCTGTTTCCCATTTTTATCTCCGTGAGCTGCTTTCTCGAGCTGCACTCGCGGTTCTGCTCCGTGCACCGTAGCAAGCCCGTCAACAAGCAAGACACGGTCTCAGTACCGCCGAGCGCTAGGGCAGGCGGCCTCTGGCTTCTGCCTTGCATCACCTCCTCTCAGGAGCACGCATGCAGCGGGTCAGGGTTTGCACCTTGTGCAGTGTTTCCAGGTGAGGGGAGAAGGAAAGGAGGCTGCGTGCACGTTTGTTATGGATCCCAGGGCACCCTTCAGCAGATTAGCCACGTTAACTCTGCTGTCACAGGCAACTTCTCCCACTGGCTGCAATTCCCACCCAGCTGTCCGGTTGCTTTAAATCCCCATCCGAGGGTGCGGACAGCCGAGCAACCTAACATGCTTTCAAATGATCGTGCTTTGCAGCTGACCCGCTGCAACCGTTTCATCCGTCCGCTCTAAGCGGAAGATAAACCATTGCAACCTTAAACCTGTTTTATCCTGGGCTAGGGTTGACACTGGTTAACCTCTTCTCTGCTGGAACAGAAGCAGGCCGAGTGTGGTTACCTTGGTACTGCTGTGGTGTACTCCCAAGCCGAAGCTCTTTAAAACCAGTTTAGTGTTTGCATCTCTCGGCAGGCTGAGCACCCTGCCTAGCTGGTCGCTGTCGCATCCTGGCCATGCTCCACCCTAAAGAAGGCTACAGCTCAGTGAGAGGCGGCACATCCTCTAGGCTGTACGCGAGATCTTATGGGGCAGATCATACGGTGCTTTACCTGCTACTTTGCCTTGCTTGTGGAGGCACAAGGTGGCTGCAAACCAGCAGCCTATGGGTTGGTCTGGAGTAAGATGAAGCCCCAAGGGCTGTAGCACTAGGAGATCGGTTCTTTCCTGGCTTGTAGCACATGGGGTGCACAAGGGCCCATGCAAGAGCAGCCCCTCGGAGAGTGTGAAGGGATGCAAGACAGGTGCATGCTCATGCATGCACACACATGCATGTGCACGCACACACACGCCTGCACCCCTCTGCTCCTCAGCTGCACCACTCCCAGCATGTGAGGATCATGCCCAGTACAAAAGCAAGCAGCTCTTGTTCTGCGCCAGGACATGCCAGTAACGTGGCAGCCAAGTGCCAAGGTGCACGGTCCAAGAATGACTTGGGGGCACAAGACGGTGGCTGCCTGTTGAGCCAAGGCAAAGCCTGTGTTTCTGATGCCCAAGGGCAGGTATGCAGAACAGCTAAACATTTCCACTGGATTTTACAAGGCTGTGTAACTTAAACACTGACAGCTGAATCCATCTCCTGGTGTAACTCCCCTAATGCCAGTATCCAAACACTTCCAAGGACTGCGGTACATTGTGAATCTCCTGGCTCTCTGGCGGCTTGCAGTTGAAAAGGGGCCACTACCCTGGTCCAGACTCTCCCCATCTTCAGCCTCTGCAGAGTCAACTGGGATGGCCACTAACCAAAGGACGCCCTACAGACCCTGGTCGTTGCTTCCAGCAGCAGACTGGTAAGCTGGAGACCTTTGGGGGCAGGGGGTGCTTTGGGGAGCGCCATATAGTGCAACCCAGTGTTGCTTGGATAGGATTTGGCTGTCAGCTAGTCCCCTGGTCGAGGGGTAGGAGGCAAAGAGGCTCCTGTTCTTGCAAAATCCTCCGCGAGCAGATGCCTGGGTGCAGTTTGCCTGGCTGTGCAGGGTAGGGGGCTTGTTTTCAGTGCCAGACTGAGCTGCCATAAGGACAAGGTTGCACAATGCTGGCCCAGACTGGTGCCTGGTGCCAGCTCCTGCTTTTTCACAAGTGCAGAACTGGCTCGCAGTTAAAAATAAAAAGACACAGGGTGACCTCAGGAGTGTAATCTAGAGCTTTTAAAGCTTGGATTCCTTTCACTCCCCACACATCTCTCCTCTGCTCCAGCCTCCTCATTTCTCTTTCTCCGCAGTAAACTTAAACCCTCGCTAACGTGGCCAAGGAAGACGCCATAGATGAAATGTTGTTTTAGCTTAATTTCCTATTCCTAACATATGCTTTAATTAATGTCATTTTGTTTGATTTGCTGCCAGCGTGCCAGTGCAGCACTTCCTTCGTTTCTCAACCTCTGCAGTAACCCTGTGGAAATCCATATCGGGTGTACATGGTTTAGCTAATCGGTTGCCTTGCATTAGTCTGGAGCGCCTAGGGTTTTTTTCTGTGCAAGGTCCCAGTGCTGCGATATCCCGCCGAGGTCACTGGGAGTTTTGCTGGTAACAGACAGGAAGATCGACCTATGGTTTTCAACCTGTGGGCCCCGAGGGGTCCACAGATTGTGTCTTAAGAAGTCCACGAAAGGTGACTATGATCAATCAGCTGTATGTGAAAACGCACACTTACAATTCAAAGGGGCCCACACCTCCACTGGAAATTTTTTATGGGTCTGCATATGAAAAAAGATGGAAAACCACTGCTTTGGGGCCTGAGAATAAAGTGCAGGTAAAGTCCCTAGACACGATCATTGTGCTTAGACAAAAGATGCTCGATCAGTAAATATGATTGCTGTTATACCGCCCAGGAAGCTGAAGCACATAACTGGTGTGTCTGGGGGGGCACAGTGAGCCAGGGGCAGAACAAAGAGCTGATCTTGGGACTCCCGGTTTCAAATCCCTGCTCTCCAGCTACTTGGGATGAGGCAGAGGCACCCAGCCCTTCTAGCAAGCTGCCTCCGAGTATAATTTCTAGTACAGTTTTGCTCCGAGAGAGTCTGGTCCTTTGTTGCTTGGTTCCCAACTTGCTTGGTAAAAAAAAAGGACTTTGTTTTATTTCTAGCACAGGGCCTGTCTGCGCAGCATGCTCTTTGCATGTTGTTGTTTGGTCTCAGAAAGCCCAAGTGTGTCACTCGTTCTGTCAAATTAGAGCATGTTTAAGGTGCAGGGAGCTGGACCCGATGATCTTCCGAGGTCCCTTCCAGCCTTGCAGTGTATGAATATGAATCTATGGAGGGGGCAGACATGTGGGCACCTACATCAGGGAGCCAGGCTTTCCATGTTCATACCTGCAAATGAGAACCTGGGATCTGAGTCTCTAACTTTATGGGCACCAGGCATGTTCCTCAGGACAGTGTGCTCATTGGTATATTAATCTGGTCCCTACAGGTAATGTAGGACGTAGCTCTCCTGGAAGAAGTTTGCAAGGTGGACTGGGCTATGTTGGCTGGAGCATGAAAAGACCATGCCCTATAGCTGATGTGGCTCTGCTAACAAAATCTCTTGTGTAGACACAGATCTGCAGCAATTCAGGGGCTGGGGTTAGAGCAAGTCTGGATGCCGCAAAACTCCTGCTGTTGGCAGAGCTACCTCTGCACGGAGGGGCCCAGCCCCCTTAGCGCTGCCACCAGACCTGAAGCTATAGCAGCACCGTAGGAGGGTGTTATGAGCTCAGTGGAGCTATGCTAAGAAGGCGCTTGCCCCCAGAGCCTTGACCTGCCCGGTCTTTGATTGTTTTGACCAAGGCCAATGCAATAAATGACCTCCAGAGAGCAAAATCCCTTGTGACCCAAAGTTTTCATTTTATTTTCAGAACTTATCTCCAGAGGAAGTAAGGGATTGGCAAGACCTGGGAAGTCACCGATTGCATTTACTGGGGAGCAAGAGATTTGGCTGCATTGCTCAGCAACACAACAGCTGGATCCTGTAGGGGATGAAGCAGCTATCGGTGCAAAGATCCCAATAGCTGAGAGCACCATCCCCTGTGGTCTGGTAGGTATCTGACAAGCTGCGGTCTCCCCGCCAGAAACTTTCTTCGGGTTGCTTCATGCCTAGTGAGCCACCGTCAGCTGCCAGTCGATGGTTAGCAAAGCCACTCGTTCCTGCTTTTCTCATCATCCAGTTTATTTGGTTTCCCTGTCCCAGGTGAAAAAGACATTATGTTCACCACTGCTTTATCTAAATGGATGTGAGATAACAATTCCCTGTACAGCTGTGGCCAGAGGAGTATTCAGCACTGGTCCGTCCAGGACTGAAATGCATGGCTGTTATGCACAGTGGGCCTGAAATGGCCTCTTTCCCAGATAGCTCTTAGGAGCAAGACTTTCCTACTTGTCTCTTTGCTTCACATTTCCTCCACCCTTTCTTGCCCTCTAGAACAGAAGGCAGATGTGAGAGCGGATGCATGCTCTTTTCCAGCACAGACATCTCCCTGCTCTCTGGTTTTCCCATTCCTTCCCCTCCTACTCCCGACAGGGAGTTTTGGATGCAAACCCACAACTAAATCCTCTTTTGTCAGGAGAAAATTCCCAGCTCCCCGGCTCAATCCTGCCCGTGGACGTGCACCCCAAATGCAGTGGAAGACAGCAGCATGCTCGGGTGTCAGATGCCTTTGCTCTCCAAGTCCTCGGGAATTCGGCTCCTCTCCCTAAAATGAACCCTTGTGCTTCAGTCTCCTAGCTCTGATGGTAGAAACAGCCCAACTCGGAAAACTGCACTTCTTGACCCTGCATCATTAAGGTCAATAGGAACTGATTTTGCTCTTGGCTTCACGGGAAACATCTGGGTCTTGTGTTCCTACCAGGAGAGGGCTAGGACTTGTATGACTATCCGAGCGCAGCGCCCAGCGCTCTGTTGTGCTACAGCTTGAGACCGAGGATTTGGAGCCGGATTCAGACCTGGTGGGAGCTGCTTGTATCAGGCTGTACTTTGGTGTTTATTTTCTCAGCTGAGTCAGGAGAGCAAATGTGTGTCTCGTCACACGACTGCCCTGGATCCCCGGTTTAACACTGCCCACCGCCTTTCTCAGCCTCCCTAGGAACTTTTACTCCCCTCCCGACTTCTCCATGTCATCAGCCTCTGGCCCCTTTCCCGGCTCTCTCTTGCTTCCTAGCCCCCCGTGTCATGGGGGCCACCTCCTCTCGGCATCTGGAAGACCATTTGCACATCCCCACGCACCCTCAGGCTGCATGAGGATCTTGAAGAAGTTGGGAAGTTTCCATGCCGTGACTTTATTTTCTCTCTTTTCTCCGTCAAGTCAAACTACCCGTAGATTCTCCTGGACTCTCCCAGCCCGAGTCTCTGAAGCTTCCTGATTTAATTTGGGCATCAAAAGCTTCTAAGTGCTATTTTGGGGCTGGAATGTCCTCGGCCCTAACTAAAGCCCCATGAGGGTTTTCCTTTTTACCTACGATTAAACCACCGTTACTCGCCTGTCCTAACCAGTTCGTCTCTTGGGTAAATCCAGATGTTTCTGGACACTTCCTGTTCCTGTGCTGTCCCCCCCACCCATCTTGTTCATTCAGGATTTGATAGCACATATCTCCTTGATACCTTGGAGTCATTTCCAGTTGAAAGGTCAGCGGCGGTGTTCTCCGTCGTGGTTTTCTTACCATGTTTTGCGCTGCTGATGCCGAAGCTAGAGGGAGATCCTCTAGGGCTTTGTCAGATGGAGACCATGTCTGCTAACTTCAGTGAGGCCAATCCTGCCTGGAAAGAAAATTTGGAGTCTGTGCCTGGCTCACCCACTGGGATAAAGAGCCGGTTTCTCTTTGCAGCAGTCAAAGCTGGAGAAAACCCAAGAATTGGAGATTAAAGAACTGCCTTAAAATGCACTTTTTTGGAAGGTGGTTCTCACTGCGCACTTGTCCGAACAGCAAGATCCGGAGCGATGATAGGGCACTGAGACGATGCGCGGAGACGTGCCTGCCTGGGAGTAGCAAAAGCAGGATTGGAAAGAAAAACAAACCCCATGAACTGCTAATTAACTAAAAATATTGACCGTGGCGTCGGTCTGACCCAATCGCTGCCAAGGCTGGGTGAATGCGACTGGGCCAGCTCCCGAAATTGTGGGCCAAATCCCCAAATCCTAGGCTCACCGGGCAGCTGAGTGGCAGCAGTAGACACAGTACTGAAGAGGGATGTGCAATGTGGGTCTGTTCCTGGCTCTGCCACAAATCTGCTTGTGACCCTGGGAAACCCTGCCCCACATGTGCACTCCCCCCTACGCGTGCATCTCACCCGATTCGTACGTGAACTGCTCGAGAGCAGGGCCTGGCAGGGCCGAGTGCAGCATGAAGCTGCTGTAAAACAAACAGAAATAATACTCGGGGTCAGAAATGGGCCCCGTGTCCCTTGATTGCCTCGCATAAGAACGAGGTGCAAACAGTACGGAAGTGTCACGCTTGCCCCAGCGTCATTTCGGCTTGCACGTCCCTCCGGACAAGAAGGTCAGCTGCGTTGCGCAGATTTCTTGAGGGGGCAGGATGCAGAGAAGCTTCCAATATTGTAGTGGCTGCCATCGGCAGGCCAGCGGGGTTGCTGCAATCGAATCGCCTGGTTTGCGGCCTGTTGGCGTGTTGCGTTGCGCTGCACGAGAACCCGCCCAGGCGTCACGGAGGTTGAGGAGTGACTGACACGTTGTCACTTTGTTGGGTCGACAAAGTCTTGGGTCATCCCATATCCCATGAGCTTAACCTCCAGGTTTCCTGGGTCTTCCTCCTGTCACCGGATGGCCCCTATCAAACGTGGCACTGCACAGGCACCGAGCGATGGCAGGACCCGCTCCCCCTTCCAGCACGTGCAACGAATAACCTTTCCGAGGGCCAAAGTGCTGTGGAAGTCCCTGCCCCAGCAACGTGCCCCTTGGGTAGGAGTTGGTAGCTCAGCCATTGCTGCGATTCCTCCTCTTCTCAGAGGAGAGCCGGCTACACTGCCGCTGACCCACTGACCCGCGCTAGGATGCTGAATGTGAGTAGCCGAGGTGTCGGGACAGCAGCACCATTTTGATTTCATGCCGGAGGTGTCACGAAACTGCGGGCATCGTCGTGTGTGTGGACGAGGCCCGCCAACACGACCGAGGGCTGTCTTTAAAGGACAAGCCTGCCGGTTTCCAAAGGGACCCAGCCATCCCAGCTCACTGCCGCTCTTTGCACAGTGCCAAACGCAGCTCTAAATACCAAGCAGAGGAAGCAAACGGTTTTCTTTGCTTTTTTTTTTTTTTCTTTTCCCCCTTCTGGCGCCTATCTAAGAGAAGGAGGCTGAAACGAGGGGCTGCGGCATGGGAGGCCCCAGTAAAATATGGGGCGGCTCGGGGTGAGCTCTCTGCAAACGCCCAGCTGGTGCACCGCTGTCCCTGCAGCGACTAAAAAGGAACCGGGCGAAAATACAAACGAAATCGGCCCCAATCTGTCGTTTGTAAAAAAAAACAACCCGGGTTTCCCGGGGTCGATTGCAAACACGACCTGGCAGCGGGGAGCAAAGGACGGCTGGGGCCCGGCTCCGACCATGGACGGGTAAAAAGCAACACAAGGCGAACCCAGCCTGGTGGCTGGCCGGCCTGCCCGGCCTGGGCCGGGGGCTGCCCTCACCTGCGGCCGCTTTTCTCTCCCCGCTGCAGGCTTTCCCCGCGGGAAGGGGCCGGCGCCGAGGCCGGCGGCCCGCGGGACTTGAAGGTAAGTCTCCGCTGCCGTCCGGGCCCCGGCGGGTGTGCCCAGCCCGCGCCTGTGGCGCCTGTGGCCCGTGGGCCGCCCCCGCAGGACCCACCCGCCGGGGTGACACGGGCAA